ACCCCGCGACACGTCCGTTGGTTCGGCGCCTGTGGAATCTGGCGTGACCATGACATCAAAAGCTCCGGAAGTCAGCCCTGCGGGGACCAGCAGCAGCAGCATGTCCAGCACCATGCCCATGTTGAGTCGCGCCCGCCGGCCCTCGGCCATGATCGCAGAAACCGATGTCAGAGCCATCAAGGTGAGTGATTCAGGTGTGGATCTCTATACATCACACGCTGGGTGGGGCCTTGATCTCGAAGATCGATATCAGGGCCATCAAGGTGAGTGTGTCGGGTGTAGATCTCTATACATGACACGCTGGGTGGGGCTTTGACCTCAGAGTTCGATATCATAGCAATGAAGGTGAGTGTGTCAGGTGTGGATCTCTATACATCACACCCTGGGCGGGGCCTTGAAGGTGAGTGTGTTAGGTGTGGGGTAGTCACAGCCGCCTCTGACTGGCCGTACTTGTGGTACAGGGCGCTGCAAGTAACAGCAATGGTGTCGAAACTGAAAAAAAGGGGGTGGGGGGGGGGGTAGATTGGGTGTCTAGGCCTATTGAGCTAGGCTGCCCCCTTTATCCATATATACAGTCACATGCCGTCGTCTCATTGAAGGTTGACTGAACTTGATCTTCAACACGCGGTGTCTCTTGTCTTGGTTGTAGACTCTTTCAGACTGCCGTTCGTCAATCTCCTGGTGTCCGCCCCCTCTCCTCCACCTCAAAGTGTTTCGTTGTCTACCCCTTGTTCTCTTGCCCTCGAACTTTCCCTTTAGTATGGTTTTTCAAAGAGTGCAAGATGAAGAGAGAGTGTATCAGTCATGAGGAAGGCAAACTATAGCTGGTCTAGTGGGGCAGGTAATACCGAAGCACGTGAATTACCAGCCTTCTGCAGGTAGATAGAGGCACAACTGAGTTCCCCAGGTGACAGGAGCCCGCACTAAGTAAATGTGTCCTTCATTCACCCTACTCTGTCACGAATGGCCTAAAGACTTTCACCAAGAAGCGCCTGTCAGCGCCAATTTCCTTTACTTTGCATTGACTCTTCTCCTATCCATCCTGAACATTTCCTTTCACACTTATTCCCTTTCATACCGAATCTCTTTAATGCTTACAGGATTTTCATACAAGTACGTTCAGGCCTGAGATACATTTTGACACGGTGCAGATTATTCAACAGTAGCTTGTATATGTGCATCATTTATCACTGCACACGCACAATGTCCGGGAGAATGCCACATAAGATTAATGCGCCCGTGTTCCCCTAGGTTTTGTTGAATCCTAACGCTTTTTTTTTATTATTAGTCCACACTTTGTGGTTCTTTTCTGACGCTATGTTCTGTCTCTGGTGTGTTAGCGGGTTGCTGTCGTTTTGCTTCAAGTTGAGAATTCTAGACCTTTCTCTTCATCCTTACCCCTTTTTGATGAGTTCAATGTTGAATTCAGAATCGACATCACAGCACACCTATAAGCGCTCCATCCCGATCTTTAGTAGCAAGCGAAGAGTTCCAATTTCAGTGGCACCAGTAATGGATGGACACAAGTTTCTGTAACGGTTGGACAAAGCACTGGTAGTGGATGGACTAAGAGTTCTGGTGATGGAAGGATAGTTTCAGAGCTAGGGCGGGGAGAACACACACACACACAGACACACACACACGTGTTAATAGGTGAACCCAGACTACCGGAAATCACGTGTCCCACATTCTAGTGTAACTAAGGAAGCGATTCATCTCACTACTCTGTAATTAATTAACTTTTGAGCAGGGAAGAAAAGACTTTTAAGCGTGCTGTGACGGGAGCGACGTTCTGTAAAAAGCCTGCTGATTGATGATGATGAATATAGAGTTACATTTTGTTTTTACTTTTCTTTGTGTTCACCGGCTGTAAACACTGGCGGAAAGTTCTGCGGAACTTATCACCAAGTTGCCCCCACAGCGAGAGTTCCTTCCCCCTCCCGTTCATGCCGCGGAGGGTCGCACGGCCTGTCCTATGTTGTAGAGGGTGTTATGAGATGGATGCGTTCGCTCGCTGTATATAATCTTTGTGGGAGGTTGTATTGTCGTGAGTCTTTTTGTTTTGAAGCTACGCACCAGTGTACAAGTAAGAAGTACTGCAAGGGAAAGCGCCGAAGGCGCGCCTGTTTGTGAGTATCGAAACTGCGATGTTTTTGTTTGAATTTCTGCGTTACTTGACTGTAGCTGTCCCTGATTTTTTTTTAAACCACTGACAAGGAACATAGAAATACATAAACATCCCAGTTTCGATACTTAAAAACAGTCCAGCAACTATCACAATGTAGAAATAACGACGCAAATGAGCGGTGTCAACACTTAAAAAGAGAGAATGATTAAACCGTTAAAAATAAGAAATACTTGACACGCCCACAAGATAGGACAGGCACTGGGACCGGCCGTGTTAGGAATTAAAGAGGAAGGAACTCTCGCCGTGCGTGCAGTTTCGTGATAAGTACTGGTTTTGGTTGCTCGTCAAGCTTTAGACCTTAGTTTTGTTTCAAAAACCTCAGTGTTGTGTGACCATTCCTACCACCGATCTTATTTGTATGTAGACTGCTGGTTCCTTGACTTGCCTCTAAGGCAGTTGCACTCCGACTTTTAACAACGACCACTTAGTAGACTCTTACGACCTGCTTGTTGTAGAGGCAGTGGGTCTGTCTCCCCCCCCCTCCCCACACACACTACTGGATCCAGTTACCTTTTTTCAATTTAAAATGACTATTAAAAAGTATCGTAGACGCTCGCCTGTGGATCTAAAGGTCGTGGGTTCGCTTCCTGTCGGAGCCGGACTTTTTTCAAAAAATTACAGTGGCTCCCAGGTTGACCCAGCCCGGGTGCAGTCCCAGTAAGTAAAGGCGGCCGGCGTGATGCTGACCACATCACCCATCTTGTGCCGTTGGTCTGTAAAATATAGGTCTAGCCCTATATACATAATACGTATGAAAGACCCTTTACTTTTGTTTTAATTATTAAAAAATGCGGTCTGTCATATTGACCTAGCCAGCCAATTAGTCCTGGACACAAAATGAAACATTCCTGTCAGATGAGTTATAAAGAAACATTTGAAAGCAGTCATTTGCCTGTGAGAAATGAATAAATTTTGTTAATTCTGGAGGCGAAAATGGTTTGGGTTTTCGAACAGCTGGGTTTCCCAATAACTTTTTAGTACGAATTAGGTTGCCATGAGAGGTACTAAGAAAATAAAAGTCCTTTTCCCACGCCTTTAGGCGTAAAGGCCACATAGGGTTAGACCTATATTTTTTATAGACCAATCGGCACAAAGATGGGTGATGTGGTCAGCCTTTACTCCCCGGGGCTGCACCCGGTACCCACTCAAGGCTGGGTCGACCTGGGAGTTAAGGTCATTTTTGAAAAAACTCTGGCTCTGCCAGGGAGCCAACCCACGACCTTCCGATCCGCATGCGTGCAGCTAGCCGCTACACCACGGCGATTGCACCACAGAGAGACTTGGTCCTAGGAAAATTGGGGACTTTATTCCAGCGTCAGATTGGATTGGATTGGATTTTTTACCCCACCAGGACATCACACAAGCGATAAACACCCGATGACACAAAGTGCCACCATGCGGATGAGGATCACCGTGGAGAGGTCCCAGAAACCGCGTTCAGACATTTGGCCATAATGATGACCTGCCTATATTGCGGCCCCTGGCAAAAGCCAGAGTGGGGCTTCAAATAACAAAAAATTACGTCCTAAAAAGGACGTAATGATTGAAACAATATATAACCCAGCGTCAGAAAACAAAGTATGTAATTAAGCGGGGAGTGAACACACGTGATTTGGGAGAATCAAAAAACCATCAAGCAACGGAATTAATGATTGTCTCTCGTGCACCACACTAGACAAACTCACCTTTAAAAATCCAGATAATGTATCAAGGGACAAATTGAAAAATTCCAAAGAACAGATTTTTGGTCTGCGTGGGTTTTAAAAGGGGGAGAGCAGGGAGAAGTGGCGTTCACCAAGTATTGAAGTAGCGAGTACTCCTCCTCCTCCCCCTCCTCCTACTCCCCGTTTTTTCTTGGTCTTCTTTTTCTTCTTCGCGTTGACCGGTTGTAAACATCACCAGAAATTTCTGATTGTTTGTCCACTTCCGGTCTTTGATCTTGTTCTAGAGCTTGTTTTGCATGCACATCCGTTTGACAGATCAGGCTTTTTTTTTTTATACAGCAGTCTCTATTGCTGTAAACGTATCTCTATAACTACTTTCTATTTTTACCGCGCGTTTTGTTATTTTGCACTGTTAGTTTATTATCTGATCTCTATTGATGTATTGTTTCATTTAATCTTTGTTGATGCTTTGAATTTTTAGCATGTACTGGTTCTGTTATCATTATTGCTTTTCATTTTGGGAAAGTCTGATTAGCTCTTCTCTTCCCCCCCCCCCCCCCCTTTTCTGTCTCCCTTTCAGTGTAGGCAGTTTATTGTGTGAATGTTTGTGTGGTTCATAGTAGATCACATACCGTTTGATCTCAGTCAGAATAACCTCTAACGTTTATCAGTAGGGACAGATCTCACATGTCCCCTTCAGCCTTAGTGAAAGATATTTTCTCTTTCTTCTTCATCATTATCATCATCCTCGTCCTCTTCTTCTTTTTCTTTTTTTTCTTTCTCTCCTTAGTGATAATTAAGATAGTCCTGATCCCTAAATACACTACCTTCTCGCACTTTCAGTAGATCAGGTGCTATCGGTTACTAGTGAAATTAAAGATAACATTGATCAAATACAGTGCTTTCCGCCTTTTTCTGTAGATCAGGTACAGTCTGACCCCAGTGATAGTTAAAACAACACTGATCAAACACAATACTTTCCGCCTATTTCTGTAGATCAGTTACAGTCTGACTCCAAAGATATTTGAGATATAACTGATCAGATATAGTGCTTTCTCTCTATTTCTTTAGATCAGGTGCAGCCTGATCCCCAGTGATAATTATGATGTCACTGATCGTCTAAAAACATTGCCTTGTGCCTCTTTCAGGAGATCAAGTACAACCTGACCCCAGTCAGACAACGGATAAGAAGCCGCTCAGTTTCCCAGTCTTCCACAGACAGTTACAGTTCAGGTGAGTGCCTTCATGTTTGTTGTCAAAGCATTGTGTGCGTCCAAAACTCTTTCTCTATGTCGTCGCTTATTGTGTGTTTCCTGTCCACGCTTCTTTCCTTGTGTTAAATAAACTCTTAACCTTGTCTTCTTCTTCTTCGCGTTCGCCGGCTGTAAACTGTGGCAGAAAGTTCTGGTTGTTCGTCCACTTCTGGACTCTAGTCCTGTTCCAGAAACTGCGTGCTGCGTGCACATCCATTTTACAGGTCGACTCATTTGCAAGCAGTCTGTTGGTTCCTTGCCTCCCAGGCAGATGTACTCTACTTTGAAGGAAACTCCCATTTAGTCGACTCTTACGACATGCTTTTGAGCAGGCAATGGGTCTGTTCTTGTTCCCCCCACAATGGGACCCCGGAACCCACACGGGGATCTCGCCCTTGTGATTTCCACGCTAAGCATCATTTCCCCTGTCATCATCTGTCTATCATTAGGTCTTTTTCAGAATGTCGCCTTTCGTCACTGGCAGGCCTGAAAGTTGCTCTTTTGGCAGTTCTCCAGCTCTGTGTGCTTTCAGACCAGTTCATCTTTAGTGTCTTGTTTTGAATTTCACGAAGGCTTCACGAAGGTCTGCCTCTGCGTTGTGTTCCGCAGACTGTCCTCTCTATCACCGTTCTTTCCACCATGACCTTCAACATGGTCAAAATACTCCAGCTTTCGGGACAGAATGCTGTTTATGAGCCAGTTCTCCTCGATGCTTATAGATCATGTAGGATGTTGTTATCCTTTCATTGTGTTGGTCGCTGCGTTTACTCCCCCAGTGCTTGTCTGAGCAACTACTACTTTCACGACTTTGTTTTCTGTGAGACGCATTTGAACTGAAACTGGGGCATTTTAGAGATGGCGGTGTGGTTGGTAGTATTCCGACAGGCATTGACGTTAAAAAGGTTGTTGTTGCGTATCCTTTTCAGGACGTTGCAGAACCAACTTTTGTGCAGCCCCTGGTTGTTGTATGGTTTTTCTAGGCAAATTTACGTCCAGTATTTTGCCATTGCTTTCAGGACGGTCGGCTTTCTTGATACCACTGTCGAAACCAGCGCAAGGCGCATGGCCCGCAGCTGGGATCGAACCCGGCATTGCGAAGCGTTCGCATCGACTTAGCCACAGAGCCGACTTGCCGTTAAAAACTTATTTTCTGCACTTGTATCATTGTCTGCATGTGATCACACGATAATAAAGGGTTTCTTATTTTTTTTTTTTTTCTGTTTGATTTTTGTTTTGCTTGAAGCTTGTCTGTTTCTACTTCTTGTTTAAGCTGATTTTTTAAGGACTTATACTCAATTACTGTGCTCCATTTCCTATGTGGATTCTTCTACTCCATGAGGTGGAAAAGGGCGGAGGGGGGGGGGCAGTGTTTTTCTTTTGTGTGCTTTATAGTAGATCGCAGACCGTTTGATCTCAGTCAGAATAACCTAGGGTCAGATCTCACATGTTCTCTTCAGCCTTAGTGAAACATATTTTATTTATCATCATCCTAGTCGTCTTCTTCTTCTTCTTCTTTTTCCTTTAAGCTCTACAGTATCTGTAATCGCACAATACCGTGTTCAAATGCGATGACTTCTGTTTTAAAACCGACTTTTATCCTGTATTAAGATTGTTCACTCTTGTATTGCCACTTTCTAACACTTGTACATCATTTCTTATCCGTCTACATAATTGTCCAAGTACGTACTTGTGTCCGCTGACATTCTCCATTGCAGTATTTGAAGCCAGTGGTTGCCAACCGATCCTTCACATGGGCTTTGCGGCCGCTCCAGAAAAATATAGATACAAATGTAATGACATTTTTCAGATTCAGAAATTAATAGAAGAACCGGCTGCCTCTAGCTCCAAAATTATTCACAAACATCGAGAGTGTCAAGTTTTAAAAAAAAAACTATACCCCTTTCCCTCATTCTCCCGCTTCTTAACATTACTTTTAAACACATTTATATTGTTAGACATTTAGTTAGTTGGGATATGGTCATTGCACTCCGGACATGTACATAGGTGATCAGATCCTTTCTTTAATGTGAACAACAGCAGCCTCTGACTAATAGTGCCACTTCTTTACGAGACGTAGGGTACGATAAACTAAAAGGACCGCACCATAGACATTGATTACACAATATGAAGGGCTCCGCCATAGAAATTGATTATAAAAAAGGCTTTGCCATAGAAATTGATTATATAAAAGGCTCTGCCATGGAAATTGTTTATATAAGGGGCTCCACCATAGAAATTGATTATATAAAAGGCTCTGCCATGGAAATTGTTTATATAAAGGGCTCCGCCATAGAAATTAATTATAAAATGGGCTCCACCATAGAAATTAATTATAAAATGGGCTCCACCATAGAAATTGATTATGTAAACGGCTTCGCCATAGAAATTATTTATAAAATGGACTGCCATACAAATTGATTATAAAAGGGCTCTGCCATATAAATTGATCATAATAATGGCTCTGCTATAGAAATTTATTATAAAAATGGTTTCGCTAGTCAAGCTAGTTATGAAACATTGTTTTAGTCTACCAGTTTGAAACTGTTGCCTGCTAGTGAAATTGGTCCGCGATAGGCCAATTGTTTTACAATCCTCTTGTAACAGATTCTTTGTTTACACATCATTTCGTTGCCTGATAGACTTACCTGTGCACCTATTGTAAATCATCCTTATTCCGTGCAGCCCCGCCCGCATCTACAGAAGCGCCTCGTTGTTGTGTTTCTGTTGTTATAATATCGTTGTTTATGTTAGCTCGTGCCACTTTATGTTCTGTGTCGAGCACCTGGAGTGTTTGTTGATGCTGTTTTTATCTTCACCTTGGATTGATCAACTATCTTTTTACTGCCACATTTTAGAGATAGTCCACTGTTTAAGTGGAGGCTGGATGAGACCACGCCTTCATTTCATTTCTTGCCTAACCCTCCCCCGCCCCCTCCTTTTCCTTTTTTTTTTCAAGCGATGTATCATACTATACCCATCCATTATCCATAACTGCCAGTCTCTGCAGCTCTCGAGTCTGTCTTACTGCTTATTTTTTAAACTTCCAGTCTCATCCAATGCCGTCCTCTTATTTACGTAAGGAATCTCTGTCTGTCTCTCTCTTTTTCTCTCATTTCCCCTCACTCTGTGATGTTGTCAATTCAAATCTACGTGGAATTTAGATGGATCTGGAACCTGCTACTACTTTGTGATTGAGAGCCGGAGAGTAGGCAAGGCAGGCTATCAGCAGTTGCTAGAAATGACCATTGCAATAGTGTAGAAGGTAAGGGGAGGTAACGCATGAAATGTTAAACGGTTATTTATATCGTTGTGTTTTCTGTCTTATCTCCCCGGAAACTAGAGTGTCCAATAAATTTCATTGTTTCTGTAGAGTTGCAACTATGTGTGCTAGCCATCTTCCATATGTTTCCATATGAGCTAGGCGTCTTCCGTTTGTATCTATGTGTGCTAGCTGTCTTCGTGTGTATTCATGTGTGCTAGCTGTCTTCCATGTGTATCCATATGTGCTATCTTTTGTGTATATCTATTTATGCGAGCTATCTTTCGTGTATATTCATTGTGCTAGCTATCTTCTGTTTGTATCCATGAGTGCTAGCTTTATTTCGTGTGTATCCATGTGTGCTAGCTATCTTCAGTGTGTATCCATTTGTGCGAGCTATCTTTCGCGAGTATCCATTGTGCTGGCTATCTTCTGTGTGTATCCATGTCTGTTAGTTATCTTTCGTGTATATCCATTTATGCGAGCTATCTTTCGTGTGTATCCATTATACTAGCTATCTTCCGTTTCTATCCATGAGTGCTAGCTGTATGTCGTTTGTATCTATGTGTTCTATCTTCCGTTTCTATCTATGTGTGCTAGCTATCTTCCTTGCGTATCCATTTGTGCAAGCTATCTTCCGTATGTATCCACGTGTGATAGCTATCTTACATATATATCCATGTGTGGTAGCTATCTTATGTGGGTATCCATGTGTGGTAGCTACCTTGTGTGTATCCATGTGTGGTAGCTATCTTCCGTGTGTATCGATGTGTGATATCTGTCTTCGGTGTGTATGCATGTGTGCTAGCTGTCTTCCTTGTGTATTCATTTGTGTGAGCTATCTTCTGTGTGTGTCCATGCATGCGAGCTATCTTCTGTATGTGTATGTATCCATGTGTGTTAGCTATCTTCCGAAGGTATCCATGAGTGCTAGCTTTATTTCATGTGTATCTATTTGCGCTAGCGACCTTCAATGCCTGACTGTGAATGATTGTCACACACACACACACACACACACACTTTGTATTTCCTCAGACAGTGATCGTGAATGATTGTCTCCACCCCTCTTTCCACTTATATCTTGCCTCAGATAGTGTATAAAATAATTACACCCAGAGATTGAGGAAGAAGAACACACAGAGCGGGGGTAGGACATACAGAGAGGGGGAGGAAAAACAAACCACCGAGAGGGAAGGAAGAATCACACACGGAGAGGGAAGAAAGAATCACACACAGAGAGGAAAAGAAGAATCACACACAGAGAGGGAAAGAAGAATCACACACAGATAGGGAAGGACGAATCACAGAGAGAGAGAAAGGGAAGGAAGAATCACACACGGAGAAGGCAGGAAGAATCACACGCGGGGAGGGAAGGAAGAGTCATACACGGAGAGGGAACGAGTAATCACATACAGAGAGGGAAGGAAGAATTACACACGAAGATTGAAGGAAGAATCACACACAGAGATTGAAGGAAGAATCACTCACAGATAGGGAAGGAAGAATAACAGAGAGAGATGAAAGGAAGCATCACACACGGAGAGGGAAGGAGGAATCACACATGGAGATTGAAGGAAGAATCACACACAGAGAGGTAAGGAAGAATCACACACGGAAAGGTAAGGAAGAATCACACACGGAGAGGGAAGGAAGAATCACACACGGAAAGGTAAGGAAGAATCACACACGGAGAGGGAAGGAAGAATCACACACATAGAGGT